ATTGCTTTAACGGAATGTCCGTTTGTTAATTGTTGAATGAATTTTTCTCTCAATATCTACGTGCCTGGCTTTTCTTTTCCTTCCTTTATGCGTTTCTCCTTTATATACGCTAACATCGGATCACCCTCTCTCTCTTGTTCTCTCAACTGTTTATCCAGGTCTGCATCGTCCGCGTACCTCGCTAGGGGCTTGTTCATCTCATACAAGTCGTCCTTCAATTTTTCCTCGCGATCCTCCACTTGTTTCAAGCTAGAATACGTGCGAGAAAGTATTATATATGTTATTAACCTCTTAGCTACGGCAGGATTTTCCGCGGAGCTGTATCTCTGTAAAGTTCAACGCGGCAAAGTTCAACGCGGACTGCGCGAAAATAATGCAACACTGCGATTCGTATCTAGTAATGCTTTTCACTACGCAAGTACATTAGAATACAGTTTTAGATGAATAAATTATAATTTACTAGAAATAAGAATGAGCCACTATAGTGGCGTATCGTTCAAAAAAATGACATACGCGAAAGCCACTATAATGGCGTACAGTATCTAAGAAGTTAAAGAGATCCAAGCGAATAAAGTCGAAGAACAAATCAACTCGCGGAACGAATAAGAGGCAGCGAAAATTTTATAGGGACTCAAACCAACAAAGATAAAAGAATAAATCGCTCACCCTGTGCCCCATTTCGCGTACTTCTCGTTTATCTCGCGTTGCTGAAGTTCCCGTTGGCGTTCTTCCGCCGCTTCCGCCTCCAAATTGCGTTTCCTGCCGCTTTTGTCGCGCACAACCGGTGCTTGCCCGACTCCGCTCACCGACTTGCTCAGCTGAAACAATTTAAACCTTATTTATCGCATCCCTGAACGAGTAACTACTTTCATAAATGTAACTACAAAGTATTACCTTGCTAAATTGTTCCGCCTCCCGTCGTTTATGGGCCTCGGTCTCTTCTCGCAATGCTCTCGCGTCTTGCAGTCCCGCAGTCTTTCCGTCTAGCGTCTTCGTCATTCGACCTTCGCGATCTTTAGGATATTTCGCATAGTCGCGTTCAGAATCCGCCTCATTGTCGTCCCAACGCGAACCTTTCCTCTTTCTGCCTGTATCTGCATACGAAGAACGAGATCTACGATCTCTGTCTTCGTGTTCCCTCTCGCGTTTGTCTTTACTCGGCCTGCTCGGGAGAAGTACATTGTTCACATGCGTGGCTTTGTAGCGACAGAACAGATGATTTCCCTTGGAATTTTCAATGAAATTATCGTGGCGAGCAATTAATTACTTTTTTAAAATTAATTATTGTGTTTGTAATTGAATTTGTTGAAGTTGGTTGTCAATTAAACATTCCTTCATTGAACTTGCTCGAATCAACCGTCAATTAGATAAATTGAAACATATATCTTCAAATAAATTATTAAATTGAGAAAAATGCAATTGATATTTTTGCAACTTTACACAGACTTACTTCGACATATCTTGTCTACTCGATCTGGACGAATGTTTGCCCGAGTGATCGTGCCCTCGGTCTGTCTTACGCGAACTAGAAGACGGCGAATTGTCGCTTCGGGATCGGTGTTCTTTACGCCTAGATCCGCCTGAATTCGAGTGATTGTTCTTCCTATTCCTTCTGCTTTCACACAAATCCGCATCTAGATTCTGCCTGCGCTCTCTAGGTGGACTAAAATCCGAATCACTATCTCTGTTACCTGAGCCGTGATAGTTTCGTCGGGATGTAGCGTGAGCCGCATTCCGATGTTTCGTGCTTTTTCTAGGTGGACTCAAGTCCGAGTCGTTATCCCTAGGTTGTCTAGGTGAGCTCAAGTCGCTGTCGTTATCTCTAGATCGTCTAGGTGGACTCAAGTCCGAGTCGTAATTTCTAGATCGCCTGGGTGGACTCAAATTCGAGTCGTCATCGTCTTTCGATTGTATGTGTGGACTTAAATCTAAACGCTTATTCTTAGAATGTCTAGGTCGAGGTGGACTCAGATCGACATCGTCGTTCTCGTCCAGCTTAGCGTTCATATGACTTTGTTCCTCCATGTCAACAATACGACTGGTGATAGTCAGGTCTCCTTCTTCATTCTCGGTTATGATCTTCCATCTCTTTTTGTCTGAAAAGTCCACCGGTCCACGTTCGTCGACTATGCCAGCAATTTGAGGAGCATCCTCGTCCTTCAAAAAGATATCAAATTCACCTTCCTCAAGCGGCCTCATATTCTTCAAGTCGAGATCATCGTCTATGACTTTTACTCTGGAAAATATATCAAATCGCTTTTAGGCCAATTTGAAGACTCTTCTTGTTACATAGATTAAAAGATTTTAGTTGTGTGTGTGTGTAACAAAAACAAGATAGGTTTCCTTAATTTTAAAATTAAAATTCAAAAGCCCCTTGCTTGCAAAAATACGACATTTAACTTTAAAAGCATTAAACTTTAGCTTTAAAAGCATTTAACTTTAAAAATTCATTTCTAGACAAAAATAAGATCGTTTAAAATAATAATAGATTGTTTTAAAAGATCATATCTCAAAATCTTGAAATTGATCACTATTTGAAGTTCTCATTGATAATATGCATTTTCTAAACATATATTAATCTAAACGTTTTCATATATTTATATATATTAATATAAACATACATTAATCTAAACGTTTTTATATATTAGAAAGTCGAAAAAAAATCTAACGTCACTATGATTACGATCTTGAAATTATAAACGTTTTGGAGCGCGTAGAGTGACTATGGACACGGTCCATTAAACGCTGTAAACGTTTTGAAGCGCTTAAAGAAATGTCAAATTGGGCTATACGGTGCTTCAAAGCATTTATAGCGTGTAACGGATTGCACCTTATTGCCTAACTTACGCCAAACATTCGATATGCACTAAATAATAACTTTCTATTAAATAATCTTAATATCAACGATATATTATATAACGATGTATAAAAAGTTACTATTTAGTTACTATTTAGTTCGCATATCATTCGGTGTAAATTAGATACGATTGGTCGATATGACGCTCCGAAGCATTTGCCACATCAAGTGAATCCTATCTTACATATCGACTGCGTTCAGCGAACACAACTGTTGTGCAGTAATAGGTCTAGCGGGCGCTACAAATGCTTTGTAGCATTTTTACTTCTTTCTCTTTCTTCATTCGAATCCGAGGAATAGAGAGAGAAACGCTGCGCAGCATTTGTAGCAGTTGTTGGACCGCACCCTATTGTCTGATTGAAGTATTCTTTTAGATCCATGATAGATTTGAAAGAATATTCCAATGAGCACTCTTTCCATCCTTGTGTTTCCTGAATGCAACCACTGTCTTGACATCAAGAATGACTATAGATGCCGCTCATGTGTTGCGTTCCAAATGTTACAGTGTATGACATAACCTATTCTAGCTTGCTAACACAAAATAATTGTTGATGCGAATTACAAAGTCCTCTATGCACCGATACTTACGTTTTCATGCCCACTTTGTGTTTTTTCTTTTTCTTCTTTTTTTTATCATCGCCGTCGCCAAGAGATATGTATTTCTTCAGGTATTCCTTTTGACTAATTGTTTTGTTTTCTGTCATCACGGTATTGCAAAACTAAAAGCAATACGGACGCGCAGTATTATGTGGCGTTAGATTCACGTTTTATATATGGAAATAAATCCAACTAGACTTTTATGTCGATGACAGAATGATGCAGAATAAAGTTCACGACACACTCACGTAACTCTGCGTGTGAGAGAAGTCGATAACTCGCAGCTGCTTCTGTCAGAGGTCGCTAAACGTCGAAAACGTAGATTCGCCTCTATATTCCCCATCATCATTGATGCTCCCTCCTCTTGAGTCACGCTTTTATATTTCGAAACTTTTATTATTGTAACATCACAAGCGCGCGTAACCGTAGATAAAATATAGATACATGAAATTAGAATTTTTAAACATAAAATATTTATTAGATCCTGTACGAAAGTAAAACTCGAAAAATTGAACAATTATTTCTTTGTCATCGGGGGGCAAGCGCGCCTTCGGCTTGAATGTTCAAACGTAAAACTCCGTTCCCTTATTTTTATCAATAAATTCCACCTTGGCCGCTAACGCAGCAACGAGAACAATGCAACGCATAAGCGATTCAAACGCGGAATGCCAAAAACAGCAACGTCGACTAGATCGCTGCCATTGGCCGAGTGTTGAGTAGGTAGGTGAGACCAGGTGAGACCAGGTGAGACCAGACACGATTGGAGGTGGAAGAGACGCGACTGGATGGGTAGGGAGCGAAAGTGAACGCGTCTCCAAGAATGGGCAAGAGAGAACGCACTCCTGCGAAGCGAAGGTGACGGAAAACGCGACGGTGGGCGACGGTAGGGCGACCGTGGTGTGTCGTGGATGTCGATCGGCATCCTCTTTTCGGCCCTACGTCTTTTGGCAATCGTGAGAAGCGCGAGAGACGCATCCTCATCGGCATTCTCGATCGCGCGAAAATGCGTTGAGGCCGCCGCTGTGTCGTGGGCATCATCGTTGGTACCGCGATTCGCCGAGGAACGCAAAAGACGAGACCGTGCGGGATCTCGAAAGCGGCGGGAGAAAGAGAGGGAGAGACGCGTGCCGTATTACGGACGTTACTAATGCAACGCGAGTCAGTGATTCTCGGCGTCACGAGATAGCGGATGGAAGCAGAAGGTTGTTACCGCGGCTCGATGTGTATTCAGTGAGCGTGAAGCTGCGCACGGTGACGTAAACGCGCGCGCGCGTACAGGCCGTTCGTCGTTACCCGCGTCACAGCGCAACAATTCGTCCTCGTCCTCGTCAACGGCGGCAGGATGACGAGAAAGCTCAGCAAGTTCCTGATACTCTTCGACAATACGAATCTGTTGTACTTTCCTGGCCACTTCTTATCCGGTCGAGTCCTCATAGAGCTGGACGATGAGGCTTAGTAAGTAACGGATGTTTCCCAACGAGTCGACGAAATGCGAGAGTTTTGCGGTTGAAACAGAGAAAAGGAAAAGAGTACGGAGAGTAAGAATTGTTATTTTATGAGATAATGCAAACAGACGGGATCTCTCGCTAAGATACGTAGCGCGACGTTTTAGATCGCGATACGGCTACGCCGAGCGCGTGGCGCAAATTAATAATATAGAATAACGTTACCGTAGCGTCTCGGGACTGCATTTCCACGTTGTGGGCGAAGGAGTGGTTCGGATACGCAGCCAGCGCGCCGAGAGGGTTTACGACAAAGAAAATTACATCGATTTTCGTATGCGGCTGCTGGGCGAACCAGGTGAAGCACAAATAATTACGGAAACGAAGCTTACGTCAGGGATAAATTAGAAGTTGTGTCGTGTAGCTTCTCTCAGAATCACGCATTATTTAACACTCAAGGCTGCATATCTATTTCTAATTGAGCGACACGCAAAGAAAATTCAATATTATACACTATACGTGTCCGGAGAAAGAGAGATCATAATTTTTGTTTATATATCATCATGCATGATCATACATGTCCACAATGGAAGATATTGTTATATAAATACGATTGAAGTAAATGCCTATGATTTTAGTAGCACGTGATGTCAACGTTCAATCGAATAAAATTATTTCTTCCTTTTTTTATTTAACATCATTTTTCTTCATGTGGATGATTATACATGATTATACATGTAATTATATATGAACAAGACTCATGTATATTTTATACATACTCGGGAAAAAAAGTTCAGATAAAAACCAGATATGGATTTTGTTAAGATCTGATCAGATCTTTCAGATATAATCAAATATAATGTTATATATGATGCAAATCTAATTATTACGTTTTCTATATATGTTTAGATATAATCAGATACAAGGATAACTGAATCATGAATTAGATCTAAATCATATATAACGTTATATTTGATTATATCTGAAAGATCTGATCAGATATTGACAAAATCCATATTTGGCTTTTATCTGAACTTTTTTCCCGGATAATCATATAGAATTTTACATAATTATATATAATAATTTTTTTCTCATACATACATATATATATATATATATATATATATATATATATAAAAGAACTTGAAAAACATCAGGTTGATTGAAGAGTTTGTTCGTTTCTTTTCTGCCACAGTTCTTACATTAATGTGGCGGAAAAGCAGGACAAATCCTACTCTCTTTAACCCTCTGCTAACAACGTGAAGTTGCGGAACATATCCAGCAATGTGTGTTTGAGGTCGGATCTGGCCCCAACGTTGTCAGCAGAGGGTTAATAATCTAACGTCGATCTAACGCGACAATTCAATACCTCGACGCGAATTCGCAACAGGCGAAGGACCGTCGCTGCTCTCCCCGGGAATACACAGCTTTCCCTTCAAATTGGGGTTACCATTGGGTCTACCCTCCACCTTCCTCGGGAAGCACGGATGGGTGCAGTATTACTGCAAGGCGGCACTCCGGGAGCCGGGCGGGTTAACGCACAAAAATCAGCAGGTCTTCATCGTCATGAACCCGATCGACTTGAATCTGGAACCTCCGATATTGGCGGTGAGCTCGTTAGCGTAATTATTAAATCGCTGCCTACAAATGTCACTCATCGGGATTGTCACGTTAACTCGTCGCGATGGTCATCGTCGAAACGTCCTTACACGTCTCGCGATTGCGTCCGGTTCTTTTCTGCCAATCGCGATTTTCGTCCCTGACCGATCAAGAGCGATTGTTGCGAAAGAAACGGTCGCGCAAAACTCGCGGAGTAAATCGGGACTTGAAGAAAGTGTTTCACTCACGCGATTAAAAGAGCAACGCACCTGACTCGCATTACCATAACCGAGTCCCAAATAGTGGTCGTCGACCCGTATGGAAAGCGTTGCAAATATCTCGACGCTTGAGGCTAGGAATTCAAAATAAACGATTTCTGCGCGATTTGATGGAGAGAGATTCGGACTAGAAGGCAGAGAGAGAAAGATACAAAGCATTCATATACCATTCACACTGTACCAACGTAACAATTACTGACACTAATCATTGGATGGTGATGAAAGCGCTATCCAACGCATTCGCATTCTCAGAAAATTGCATAAAAGAATTTTCACGTAGGCGCGAATCATACAGCGACGGTCGCTGTTGTCTCACGCTTATCCAAGTTCATAAATACGTTTGTGCGAATGTCAGCGAACATGATCGATGATTTGATGGCATTTCGTTCCCCGGTTATCTCCCAACTTGCGTTTAGCCTAAATAGTTCGAAAGGATCCGCACTGAATTAAAATACTTTCGTAACAGCAACCTGCGAGACAAGAGATCGAACAACGCGTGGGTGTCTCTTGCGTATCAGGTGGCCCCGTATTCTGCAGAGTCAGTTTGGATCGAGGTGGATATGTACCCGGGGAGACAATCGGCATTTCTGCGACCGTCAGCAATCGCAGCAAGGTAGGCTATAATTAAGCATGTCCAGCGGGCGCGTCATTCCCCAGCAGGATCCTTAGCAGCCTTGAGAAGTTACAAAATAAGACTCTCGAGAGCACTCGAATCGACAGGTGACAATGAAGTCTACTAAAGCGTCCCTCACCGAGACGATACAGTACTTGTGCCGAGGGAAAGTACTCGCTAGCGAGACCCGCGAACTGGCTAGTGTGTCCAGGGGGAAAATTCGACCAGGCGAGGGCGAGGAATGGCTGAACGAGCAAATGTACGTTCCTCCTCTGCCGCCGACTAATCTACGTGGATGCCACTTGATCAACGTTCTTTACCACGTTTACGTGAGTGTTGGAAGGAAATGTATAATTTCTCGCTTCCGAGATAGTTCGCTGCAAATAATCAGTTTGCATTTTTTTATCGAATAAAGTCACAACACTTCAAGTTGCCGAAATTTAAAGCCACTGCTGACACGTGTGCGCAGTAATCGCGGCTATAAATATAAAAAAATCACTACTCAAAATGTTCTCTTAACTTCAAATAAATTCTTTCTTCCAAACATCACAAACATCACACTCCGTGTTGTCGCTTCTGTTGCAATCGATGACAGCGCGTAAACATCAGTACAAACTTTCAATTTTAACAACTTGTAACGTTGCAACTTTATTCGATAGCAAAAAATGTGCAAACCGATTTGCAACCGATTGTGCTATATTTTATGGTGGTCTCTTCGTGAAACACGAAGTGTCATGAGTGAAAATTCTCGAGTTCACTTAGCGAGATAATCACAATTTTTCGTAGTTCGTCATAAGTCCGAAGAGTTTGGACAAAGAGATCAAGTTGCAAATACCGATCGTGCTGGCCACGTATCCCCTGCGACCGGAAGGTGCACCGGCGGGTACAGCGCCGTCTAAACGAGGCGCCCATTATCCATCGACGCTACCGATCTTCCGACCTTGGCTCGACGATAAAGCTTTCGAGATACAGGAGTGAAAATTCTAACACGACATCAAAACCGGTGCAATTATATTTTTAGGTGCTAAGAACACTCGATGTACAATAAATTTCTACGACGAATCGCGCGACGGCGTCGATTCATCCCGTCAATTATCTTAATGGATAAATATGTATAAATTGTATAATAATATTATATGTAAAATAACCAAGACGTCCATAGCAGAAATGCACATATAATAATAAATGACGCGACGGTAAGGAGAAGTTAAAACGTGTCGATACGAAAGTATCGCACGTGTATAAATTGGGAAAAACTGCAAGGGAAAAACTGATAGAGAATGAAAGAGAAACTCATGTTTTATATTATAAAAAAAGAAAACACTCAATTCTGCATTTCAACCCTCAGCTTCTCTAAAACTTGATCCACCGTAATTCCTGTTACTGTAACAACCTTTTGCCGACTTCGAGATCCCTGAAAGAGAGGAAAGGTGAACAAGTAGCCTCGAGATGAACGAATTAATCGTTGAGAATTAATCGAATTAACAAACTAACTCGGTCTAAAGACACGTCAGATTTTCTCAGTCCAAAAATCGAAGCTAAGTACTTGACCAGTTCGGCATTTGCCTCTCCTTCCGTTGGTGGTGCAGATATTGCAACGCCTACAGCTTCGTTGGAAATATCTACGGATATTTATTCGTGTTTTTTTAATTTTGTAATTTTGTCCGCTCGAAGGAACGATTTTCTTTATCTTCTACTTGCCAAATGAAAAGCTAATGATAATTTGTTCTCCTTTAATAATAAAAAATATAACGTTTGTTGAAAGATATCTCTCATTACCGGTTATATTGTTACATTTCGCGCCGGGTTTAGCTTGAATTTTAATCGCTATGTTTCCTTCTTTATTATAGGCTACAGGTCCCGTAGATTGATTCTGTGAACAATATATAAACAAATATTACAGCTATTACAGCTTTGATATCTTGATATTAAAACTTTAACCTGCAATTATACTTTGTAGTGGCACAACAAAATTAACAATTCAACTATTTTAGTAGTAAATAAAACTATCATTTGAAAATAAAGTTATCTGACTTGCAACTTGAAAATAGAAAGATTGGTTGCCCCGTCGTTGAGTCATGCTTGATTTTTAGTGAAAGACGGTGGCGGCACGTAGCGGATTTGGCCGTTTCCAACAAGGAACACTGTATTACACAAAGCTATTTTATTGGCTACACATTATCTAAGATATCTTCTGAGATGACAAATAACCAATAAAATAGTTTCGTGTTCTTTGCTGAGAAACGACCTTAATATAGTTCACATATAATTGGAAACAGAAAGATGTCAGGACCTTTCTTCGAGTTTACGAGAATACATCTGATATCCAATGAGAAAAACAATCTCCTAAGAATCATTAAACACAAATTCTCCTATTGAATACTGAATGAATCGCGGAACTCGTCGAAAACAGTATCCATTTGTTTTCGACTGCGTGCGCAGTGTATTCATGAAAAAAAAATTTAACAATGAAATCCAGCAAATAGAAAATTCAAGAAGGGAAAAATAATCGACACAAAGTCCGCACAATCAAATTTATAAAAATCGAGAAGAACAATCGACTCTCTAACCGAATGGGAATCGAACTTCGATTCATCGCTCGAGCACTAACCACCCCGAATAGCTATATAGTCTGTTGTGTCGATACAGAGTGCCAGGAGATATGGTCAAGCATATACGATAGAAAATGTCACATAATCTTGGCGACAGGTGATTGAACGTTCTGTAGAAAAGAAATCGGTAAGTTCGATATGGAAATCACTTACATCGGTGGTCGTTGCCTTCCGTGCCATCTCACTTTTCGCGGATCGTTGTTTTGACATTTTACGCGTGGATATTAAATGCTTGCAGCTACTCGTAAACCTCGTAAGCATACGTTCGCCGATACACCACGTGGTCGTCTTGTTTATCGTCTATTAGACGAAATAAACCGTGCACGCAGTTTTATATATTTTTTTTTACTTTAAGACGTGAATTATTCCTCGATCCCTTAACCTAACTGCTTTCGTTAACTAATTATATCGCGCATGCGTGACTACGGCTACACACAGCGATGCACGCTCACCCGCTATTTTTGAACGTACACAAGCAAGTTGTACGCATATAATAAGATGAATGTCCCAACCAGTGACCAAGTAATCTTATCATGAAAATAAAGAAATTATATTAATAAATTTATTAATAAAAAGTAATAAATTATTGCGCACACATTATTCGAATATTACTCGTAAATCTCGTGAGCATACGCTTGCCGATACACGTGGTCGTTTATCGATACATTTGTTTATTGTTTATCAGACGAAACAAACTGTGCACGCAATTTTATGTACAAATCAAGTCATGTCAAAGTCATGAAAATATTATCAACCTATTATTGACTTAAACGTGGCAATTTATAGATTGATGGCTTATATTTGTACTATTTAATAAATTCTAAAGGGTCAACTTGTGATATTAATGCTATTTCTTAATTCAATAATAAATACGATTTGTAAAGAATGTGTTCTTACGTGAATGTTTATATCATTTTATTTCATATTTATTCATATTGTCATTAGTGGAAACCTAATGAATAATCTAGTGCCGATTAATGACATGTGTAAATTAAATATAAAAATTATATATCTTCCCAGATAGCACAAAAAATTCTAAAAGAATTCAGTCATATGTCACCAATTCTGAATTCATTTTTAGATACAAAAAGAATTTTTTTCACTGAACTGAACTCTGAAGAATTCTTTTTACATCTGAAAATGAACTCAGAATTGGTAACATACGACTGAATTCTCTTTGAATTCTTTTTGAATTCTCTGTGCTATCTGGGTTGTTATTTTCTCTGCTTCTAAAATATTCTTTGATCTTCTCTTTGACACAACTATTGCTTGAAAAATGTTAAAAAATAACTGTACAGATCTAGCAAATGGATATATATGATATAAACTGTCAGCTTCTACAATGTCGGCGAGTAATTATTTAAACTATCCTCGTCAACAGTATGTTTGTAAAATTATGATGTTACAGGATTTATACTGTAATCCTTAATTTTATTTGAAACTTATTATAATTGACAGTATATATAATATTAAGAATACGTGTTTAGGACAAATATAGGCCTGCATTAATTGATTTGTTATGGAAAACGGATGCAACTGTCACTAATTAGAATATCCATTTTATACTGGATCGAATAACTTTCACAATATACGTAACATACTGCTCTCAAGGTCAACATGCCGAAAAAGTTCGTGGGTGAGAATAGCAAGGCGGTCGCCGCCCGTGCTAGAAAAGCAGCGGCTAAAGAAGCCGAAACTATAAAAAAGGCATTGGAAGCCGAGGACAAGGCTTGGCAAGATGACGACAAGCAGCTATTGAAAAAAAAACAAAAACAAGTACGTAGGGAATTGTCATAGATGGACATTGGTTCGATATAAAATAGACATTCTAGCAAACATGATGTATCAATGATGTCTCTGATATAACACAGTATATATATACATATTTTTTTGTACATGCGTAGGAAGAGCTCGAGAAAAAACGTCAACAGCAGTTAGAGAAAAAGGCAGAAACGAAAGCTCTGCTTGAAAAAGAAATGGCAAATATAAAGGCGGGCGGTAAACAGTCAACGTCCAAAGTTACAAGGGCTGAGATTGTCTCTGTTACTGAGAAACGAAATCAGGTGGCTATGAAGAAGAAAGAGGACGAGAAAACGATTGAGGAGAACTTGAACAGAATAACTCTGGAGGGTGAAACAGCTCATGGTATAGATGAAGCTTTGTCCATTCTAAGGTAATTTCTGAAATATGTCGAAACTCCTCCCCCATATACAGCCCGAACAATATCAAGCTCGATGCGATATGTACGTGTGTTGGTGACGTTAAATTTGACTTCTTTCGTTTAACCCCGTTTCTCTTGATTTTTTTCAGTACAAAGGATACCGATATCGACCGGCATCCGGAGAAACGGATGAAAGCCGCGTACGCGAACTTCGAGGAGAGAATGATGCCTGTGATTAAAGAACAAAATCCTACTCTGAGGTTGAGTCAGCTGAAGCAGATCCTTAGGAAAGAATGGATGAAATCGGCGGAAAATCCACTTAACCAGAAGCTACTAAATCACTGATGTCAATTTCACAAAAGTATCGAAATACGTGAGGATACTTTTATGGTATACTTTGTCAGGATACCAACGGGTTAATTTGCTTGGTTCAGTCAAATAATAACTGTCGATGTAACGACACGATGTGTGAACTATATACAATTTTATTGATAAAACGAATAACTTAGATACTAAAAATATACGATATGAAATAGATGTGTACGATATACATATACATATATATATATATATATATATAAACGATCTTTGGTCACAAATCTATGTGCTGTTCCATAGCCTCTGTTCGATTTGCTGGATCACTTTGAATAACTCTTCCGTCCGGCGCGAGAAACGAGATACTTCTCGCGAGAAGGCACTATTTAATTTAAATGGGAAGACATAGTCTATCAGGCACAGTTCGATAACAGTTGAGGTACATCGAAGATTTAGAATTATGCGCACTTGGCGGTAATTAACGATCTTTCCAAACAACAAGAAAATTCAGAAGCACGTGTAAAAGTTATTTTCTGTGATCTCGAGACAAATAAGATACTTTGTATTTATTTAATCTGTACATCTTGGCACATTTACGAGGCCGCGCGCATCGTGCGCGCTATGCACAAATTCTCTTTATTAATTTACCTTACCGTTCTGTCAAACCGAGTCTCTTTGTAAGATCGTAAAATGAATAGCTTATCTCCTTCGAACTTGAATATACGAGTTTCATAATATATCTAATTAATTAATAACCGGCTCGCGTATATCGGTTCAATACAATCTCGATGTAATGCAACGTGTTAGGCGATTACTCCTACGTTCGAATTACCTAGATTAAAATTACGCGATATCAGTGTTGCCACTTTTTGTTTTTCCACAAGTCTATGAAACAATGTATCATGTGATTTAGTTGCTGGGGACACTCAGTCATAGGGCTATGACCAGCCATTGGAATAGCTTCGAGGAAAGCCTTCATCATCGTCTGAAAAATATAAAACAAATGATAATTATTGAATGTTATTTTTGAAAGATTTTTAAAAGATTAGCAAATAATCTCTCTCTTTCTCTGTCTCTTTTTCTTTCTTTCTTTCTTCATATATAGAAAACCTATGGAACTCGATAAAAACTTTATTTACACCATTTTTTTTGTCTCTCTCTCTCACACACACATACACACACACACACGTGAAATGTACATCGATTGTAATACAAACTCACCCTTTCCATTTGACATTCCTGCACCAGGGATACTTTATTGTCTCTTAGTCCATGAACTAGAAGCGTCGGTGTGCATATCCTCCTGTGAAAAACGTAGTCACCCTCCGGCCATATCATACCGTCCAATACATATTTCATGTGCGAAGGCCACTGTTCCGTTGACTCTTGACCGCAATAAGGATGTTGTCGTCCTCGCGCGGAATACAAAATGTCTCGATGAAGGCCGCACATAAGTAGAGGTGCGAGGATTGCCCTGAGACAGCAATGTCCGGTGCTTTCTGTGCTCGGTGGGGCCAATGGGGTCGGGCCACCGCCCGAAATTAACACGAGCTGATGGATATTGCTGTCATACTTGTAAGCTAATGCCGTAGCGAAGCTACACCTGCAACGGAAATTTCAACGATATGATTTATGGGTTATACTATGAGTATCGATTTCGTGAAGTTTCGGAGAAAGCGAGTAGTTTTTCCTTTAAACAAAAACAACTCTTCGAAATAAGTTAAAGAATAGAGGAAAAGGTGCGCGTTTTTCCAAAACACCGATCCTTGGGACGCGAGATCGATAGAGATCGTTCGCTCACCCGTAATTGTGCGCTACCAAGACGCATTTCTCGCCGGGCTTGAAAGCGTAATGATGTAGAACAGCGTCCAGGTCCTTGAGCAACTTGCCGAAATGGTAATCGCGCGATCGACCGGGTGCTGAGCTCATACCATGCCCCAGCATGTCGGGAGCGATGCAAGGATAACCGAGTGATGAGAAATACTGCAGCTGATGCTCGAAGATCTCGGCCGACGAACCGAAACCGTGCAGAAAGACAATTGTCGGTTTTCTGTTCCTACGAAACGTCACTGAATCTTGGAGATCCCGTCGCGTGCTACCTTGCGAAGAGATACCCCCCAACTCCGACCACTCTTTCCTGTAGTCCTTGAGTTCGATTGGAGAATCCGCCACTTTGATCGGCGAGGTTTCCTTCAACTTCGCGCCGAGCCTCGATAAAGCTCCACCGTTCAGAGACGGCTCCTGGTCGTTATTCTGAAACTCCAGACGGAGTTTCCCGAAGTCAGACTGCGCGTTCACCGTATCCTCCAGTCGTTCTATTGTCCTGGTACCAGACTCAGTGGTCTCGAGTTTCGTCCAAGTTCTCGTGGTCTCTTGGGAATCGATCCGATGTTTCTCCACACCCGCTTTCGGCAAATTTCTCTCGGTAATATCCTCCTCCGGATCACTCGTCACGGGGCCTCTGCCTAGTTTCTCATCGATGATTCGTAAAAGCGACTGTTCGAAACTGGCCTCTTGATCCGGTTGGAACTCAATGGTCTCCACGCTGTTGATGCCGGAGTCCACGCAGTCCAATTGCTCCGACGTGATGCTCTCCGTGTTCGCCGGTATTCCAAGGTACAGGTTGGCTGTTTTCAGGCAGTAAATAGTGAAAATTTTGAGCGGAAATAATGAAAGCCTCTCGATATCTTACGATAAAAGTATGAAAAAGGAAAAGGTATCATAGTAAAAATTACTTTCAGATTATATTTCTCTTTATAACATTTTTCGTAAAATTGGAGTGTACTCCAATTTTACGTTAATTATGGTATAAATTAATACAGAAATAGTAAATTTATCGAATTTACGATCTATCTCTCTTGGTATATAAAAAATATTCAAATAATTACACAACAATATCTTACAATAAAGAGTCAAATCTACATAACAAATTAGTGATTTCGGTCATAATTCTGTATAGTTCCAAGATTTTAAAAATTTTGTTGTAATTTTTACCACAATATTTTCCTCGTGTGCTTGTAAATATTTCACGACGGAGTATCTTACGATAGAAAAGAGTTGAATGAGAATATAATATCTGCGATATTGTGATAGCAACGGTCTTATTTCGCATAGATTAATCGCTTACCGTGTTTCTCTGTGGCGCGATCGAAGTCTAAGGAAGCTAGTCGGTCCGTCGAACCGACGAAAGCGGGATTCACATAGCCCTCGTTTATCGGAACTTTGGCGAATTGCTTCTTGCCTCGACTCTTGACAGCCCATCGCTCATGCTTCTTACCGGCTACAAAGGAATCGATCAAGGACCCACGTTCGTCCCTCTTGATCGATACTTCCTCTTTGGATTCGTCGGGTCGAGACTTATTCGCAAAATCGTCCGTTTGTTGCCAAGACACTTCGGGGTGTCGTACACCTTTCTTTTCCACTTCAGTCACGTGCTTAACGGTGTCGTCAAGTATCTCTTCCAGAAGCGTATTAATATATCTGATACAATTCAAATTCACGTTATCGTAAATTCTTAGCATAGCGATGTTTCGCTTGTTATAATGCAATGTAGACACACATATTAATTAAAATCGAATTACTACATGGAGAAAATATCATAGTTCTTTTGTAATATTATAAATTCTTTTTGATTTTACTGTTTTTATAGTGCAGGAACTATAAGCAAGAGGTTTGTTCTTTTCCTCTGTACAATAAGTTAGAATGATTTTATTGTTGAATATTTGGGACGAAACGTCGAGTGCATTGCAGAACGCAGAGCGTCCAACCTTGTATTATATATATATAGTTAGTCGCAAAACGGTTTAGAAACAGGGAAGTTGGGAGCTTATAAAACTGACAAAACTGAGAGCGATTATCGACGGGCATGTTCAGTAATTATATATCATTAATTATTATTATTATCAATTATTATTGATATTATTATTTATTATTGTTTAATATTTTCAATTATATTATCAATTATATTATTACTGCGTAAGTGCATTGGCAATAATTCTCAATGTTGGTGCAACTTTATTGTGTTTAAATTCTTTTGCAATCCACACATGTGTAGTCGTTATTTCCCGCGCGGATCGAACGTACCGTTCCAGATCCTTGATGATCTGATGCTTCGCGTTCTGCTCGAACGAGCGATGATCCGTCGTCAGTATCGATGACGCGATCGCCTGGTGGTCCGCGTGATCGGCCAGCTGCGAATTGTTCCGCAGCTTCTGCAGATTCACCGAGACCCTCTGCTCCAACTCTTCGATGTCGCGCGCGTTCTTCTCCGCTTCACAGAGGCTCGTTCGTATGCGATTCAATTCGGCGGATATGATGCGCTCCTCGTTGGTACTCAACGCGCCGGCAGACTGGCGGAAGGAGCACCTGCAGTTCCCGGACGGGTGCGGTCTCCTGGACCAGCGCGCGAAGAAATTGTCGTTGATCGACTCGGGCCGGTCGATCGTGCTCTCGTAGTACCAGCCGCTCTTCAAGGTCGGCCGGAGCACGCGCAAGGTGCGTCGCGGCGCCACGATGAAGAAGTCGCAGTCGGGCAGCTCCACTCTGCCGGGGCTGACTCGATTACGATTCCTCCAGCACTCAAACACCTTGCCGTACCAAGGAGACGCCTCCGTCGAAGGGCTCTCCTCCACCTGCGTCGCCATTGTCCCTTCGTGATCCTCCGGCCGGCTCGGATCATAAAAGCGTCACGCGAACTCCAGACGCGGGGCACACGTCACACTGCTGGTATGCATTTTCCTCCGGTATCTCTTGGAAGATGAGTAACATCCACGCGTGTCGATGTATTATTACGTAGCTCGCTCGTATTTTTCTCGACGGCCGCGCTGGAAGTTGTCACATGTTCCTGTGAACGTGTTCTCCCGAACGTCGCTCGCGCCACACTGTCTCCTGAACGAGCCGAATACAATCCTGAAAATTGTCGATATATAAGTGGCCGGCATTCCGTTCTCCTCGTGGATTACGCGGATTGGCAGTTCGTTAGCCTTAGTTAATTAGGCATTGCCGTGCCGAGACGTCACCGCGGAACTGTCCCGAACGCCACTCGACACTCGCTCGCGGTCTCCTTCGCCGACTGGACGGTGTTACAGATAGAGCTGTAGGTCGACGAGTTTTTATTGCGCAAAGAGCTACTTTCTCACCACGCAACGCTTTTCCTACGTTCCACATGCACGAGCAACGAGATTTCCCCGCGAAGAGAAGGAGAAAAAAAACGAAAGCGCCGCTTCCTCGCTCGAATAGTGCTCGACGATGTAAGGCGCGCTATTTCCTCATTGCGATGCACAATCAAGTTCGACGCGCAGCTCATTTTTAAATAACAAGTGCATTCGTTCGCGTGTCGATAGCCCGGGACACTCGAAGCGAATCTCGAGCTGAATGCGAACGCGAGGATCCGAAACTCAGTCACGGAACAGGTTGAATCGATTGCTCGGCTGGGCATTCTTTTGCAACGACGTAAGTGCGGCTTATCTACCAGAACGATCTGTGTCTAACCGCGGCGGAAGAGCGAGTAAAGCCTCTTTAATTGGGCAATTTCGCTTTTTCACCGGCCGAAAGTACATTCCGTCATGGGCATGTTCCGTGATTTCTTTTCTTTTCTTTGCGTTCTCGCAATGTGAACGTGAAGGAGAAGGAGGAAAGGAAGGATCAAATTTAACGAGAGTGTCATCGTCGCGCTAATTCAACTAGATCGAACGAATTGCGAGAGGGAAATCGAACGAGAACATTCGCACGGACCTCTTCATCTCGCGCATCCTCAAGATAGAGTCGGTTGCGATCACTGCGCATACTCGAATTTTAAAGAGTAGCAAATGGTAAAAAGTTAATTTCAAACCCGATCGGGTAGGATGAGAGGCAGAGGAGCGCCTCGCGAACTCACCTGATCGTTCAAACGCACGACGTACACAGGACGTGCATAACGCGACACCGCGCACTGTACACTGATCGAGCAAGCAGTATCTTACGATGCGCACCGATGGTATAATCGAGGTATCGTCGAGGTATCGTCGACAGCACTGACAGCACGAGGCTCGAGACGTTGGCCTCGCTCGCCGACGGAAATCCTCGCGAAGTTCGGCGAATACGTCGCGACCACGTAACACATCCGGGACACGATCGGTCGCGTGTGTCGCGGCCACTATGTTTTCGCCGAGGAGAGCGTCAACGGAAAAGTGCGCGCTGCTGCCGATGATGACGACGACGACGACGATGACGATCTGTCAGGACGCGGGTGTCCATCGGAAGTCGCAGTCGCGCGGACTCGCGTCGAGTGACGATACCGCGTCGGAGCATCGCGCATCTTTTCTTTCTTTCTTTCTTTCCTTTTTGGCGTGGGCGTTTAGCCGGTAAATTAAGACAGGAAAATTGAGGACGATTGATACTTGAGACACGAAGCACGTCGGCTCAGAGCGGCCATTGCACGTCCCGAGCACACGGATGGCAGCATGAGAGAGAGAGAGAGAGAGAGAGAGAGAGAGAGAGAGAGAGAGAGAGAGA